ATTCAGTGTTGTTTTTATTTATCAATTTGGCTGATGGTAAACCTCAGATATCAGTATTGGAAGTGAAAAAAGTGGAGCGGTGCATCTCTAATCAGTTTACAACACAAGACTTTGAACTTGGTGCTTCAGTGAAGCAAGAGTAGGAAGGAGAAAACAGAGCTAGACAGTTTACCACCATGTCTGTGATCCCCCCCCCCCCAATTTTATTTATGTTCAGCAGGTTTTTTTAAACTTTATGTTGGAAAAGAAACAGAGGGCATAACTTTATGAAGCATATTTGCAACCTATTCTTACAAGGTGATTAAACTGAGAGCTGATGTGTATGGTAAAAAGTTCAGAAATTGTTTTCTTTCCATTTTCCTTGACTAGCTTCACTGCTGATAAATAGCATCTCCACAGTGTGATGCTAGCACCACCAATATCATTTCTACCCGTCCAGTCAGATTTCGGTGGATCACCATGCCTCTGTGGGTTACCTTTTTCCTTTTTCTTGGAAACTGCTTTACGCAGCCTCCAAGCTTCCGCCTCACAGAGCAGCCCTTCCCCTCGCCTTTCCCACTCAGCTCCTTCAGACTAGCCAACAGCAATTAGCAAACACCTGGTGGGACTGCACATCTGCTGAGCTCATTATAGGAACTACTTCTCAGTGCGAATCTAGTAAAAACGTTGTTAAAGAGTTAATAAAGGAGCCATGTTGTGATGACTTCCTGAAGTCAGAGTTTCAGGAAGGGCAGGAGTTTCTTAAAGAGACAGAGGCCCAATTTCAAGGTAAAATCTCTTTTAAGTTATACTAAATATATACAGCATTTGTTATGCTGGCAACTGAAGTTAACATAGTTTCTTGATTATGCTATGAAATGGCACTATGTACCTGGAAAACACGTGATACTGTCCCTTTAAGCATTAATAAAAACCATTTGTGTTGATGCAAAGCAGTGGGATGTTTATATGTGGCTAAAAACCAAAGTAGCTTCAAGCATTGTTTTCTCAAGAGTGGTGGCATCCAAGTACATATGGCAATAAGTTAATAGCAATTAACTTATTATTAATAGGTGTTCTGAATTACAAAAATGCAATAAATATCAGAAAGTACATGGGGACACCTTTTCTTTTGCTGACAAAACATTTAAAAAATACAAATCTTCCTCAACACACTGGTGAGAAAAGCTGTGCTGTTTTTTATGTTATGATAATATTACATATTTTATTTGAGTGATGTTTGAATCTCATGTTACTTTATCCAGCAATGAGCTTCAGACACCAAGAGTCGTCATGGCGACTGTACCACCACGTCTCCCTCTCTGTCTCGTTCACGCCACAAAACCAAATGATGGCAGCAGCTGCCCCGCTGCAGGTGATGTCACCAGTTACCCCGGCGACAGGCGCTCCAACTGTGACGCCGAGGAGCAGGAACTGTGTGTGTGTGCGTGCGGGTGTGCATGTGTGTGTTTAACTCTGTACAGTCATGTATTTGTATGTTTGTCCACATAAGCAAAGTTATGATAAAAAGAAGCAAACGCCGTTTCTGTTTTGTGTCTGCACAGATCTAGCTCCTTAATAACTTCATCTGATCAAATTTAAATGAGTCTGAATGTTAGGTTGCATATCTTCCGTTGCAGTTTAGAATAAACGGCGTAAAAAGGAGGAATGGACGCGGCTGTCGCTTCATTGCTATTTGTCAGTAATGAGCTTCATGATCACAAGCTGGAACATGTCGCTCTAAAATGAGATCCTTTGTTTAATCTGCCCTGATTTACGGCTCCTAAGTAAATACAGGATGCATTCATACTGAGATGTTGCTTTTTTAATGACATTTTAATTGTTTTCACAAAGTTATGAAAGGAAGCATAAAGCCCAGACATATGGAGCACCATCTGGTCTGCAGAGTGACACCGTGACCTCTCAGCAACATTTTCTCTCAGATCCTGTTCTACAGGAAGACACAAGGACACCTTCAACCCCCGCCCTCCATTACACGTATCAGATATTACCTGAAACAAGGTAATGCTTCGTAACCCCCACTAAAATCATCATAGCTGCCCCTGATCCAGCCTTTTAAACTCGGATAATACGACGCAAACCATGGGGGGGTTGGGGGGGGGTTACGCTAAGTTTGAAGTATTCCTTTAGAAATAACCAACAAAATTCAAAATAACTTCCTTACACTTTATATTTGCTTTTGAGGTGGTTTTTGGCTTTTCCGATAACTCGCTAAAAAGTAGAAGGAAACTCATTTACTGAATAAGTTCAAACCTCCAGCTGAGAGGGGAGGCCTCAACCTCCTGTCTATTACAGTCATGCGTAGTGTCGATATCTGATGAAGTTACGGTTTATGGAGTCCTGCTGGTTTGCTCCAAATCACAAGATATAAACAGGCCTAATGTACATTTTCTTTTTTTCTATTTGAGACCTTTTAAAAGGACAGTATTATGTATTTTCCAGGCACATAGTGCCATTTCTTAGCAGAAACAAGTAACTATGTTAGCTTCAGTTGTTATCAAATATGTCTTAAAAGGCGTTTAGTGCCTTGAAATTAGCACTAAACTAATTTCAAGTTAGTTTAGTCTAAAAAATATCCTGCTCTTTCTGAAACTCCACCACCTGATTAACCCTTTAGCAACGTTTTTACCAGCATTGCACTGAGAAGTAGCTCTTACAATGAGTTCAGCTTATACTCAGTTCCACTAGGTGTTTGCTAATTGCTGCTGGCTAGTCTGAAGGAGCTGAGTGGGGGAGACAAGAACCTCGGAAGCTGCAGCTCTGAGGAGGAGCTGCGTCTTCGAAGGTGAGGCTAGGTCCACCAAGGCATTTTAAACAGGTTGCCATGGAGATGAAAATATTTTTCAAACGTGCATGAAAGAATCATGGCAACACTTTTTGATAAGGGAATAACATTATAACATGATGTAAAGCTCAAAAAAGTCAGTTTTACATGACCCTGCCCCTTTAAAAGTTTGCTCAAAATTAGCATGATAATTGGATTGAAACATATCTGTAGTTTGGGTTTCATGATAGAAACAATTTATATGAGTCTATTATACACAACTTGTGTTTTCCCACTTGATAGTCGCCATAACTCCAGTTTAGATTAAACACACCAACCAATAAGCTGTCAGCGTACAAATCCTACATCACCAAGTTTGTTTTAGTCATTTCCATTCCTAAGATTTATAAAGAATATATATATGAAAAAACACCTGTAGAGTCTGTAATTTTTATTTTCACTTACAAAGACTCTCTTGACCACTTCAGCAGGTCGACTGGAACTGTACAAAAGAAGCAATCAGTAATATAATGTTTCCTCCTGTCAGCTAGTTGTTGTAGTTACACCAAAGTCTGTTTATGAGAGACTGATCTGGTATCAGCAGACAACTCATCCAGCGGAAGACTCAGCTTCCGTAATAAGCTTACTGAGTGAGAATCGGGGGAAAAAAAGAGAGAAAAACTATTTAAACCACTTTGAATTGCTTTGATGCTGAAAATGTGCTATATAAATAAAATTACCTTACTTTACAAAACTTTCTCTTTGTTGTGACAGAAGAATGTAATACAGATAACTTTGAAAGAAATCAAACTGCTCTGCCTTCTCCCAGTGCTTCCAGTGCTGACTACAGAAATACACTGTTTGACCAGAAACAACCAATCACATGTCAGCTGTGTGCTGCTGTTACACTGGGAAAAGAGTTCAGTTGCACCAGAAGAGGACCAAAGATTAGAAGAAGGCCAAAAGTATGACATGTAACTCCGACTTACTGAACCACAATTCAAACGTTGAGAGGGTTTCTCACTAGAGCAATGAGAGGAAGCAGCTCTCTGTTGAGCTACACACACTTCTTTCAAAAA